AACATTAGAGCCCACAATTTGAAACTAAATGATGACAAGTCTCAGAGGCTATTCGTAACGACCCGTCATTGTGAACAACAAGAGCAGAATGTGAAGCTACTTGGTGTTACTTCAGACTCTAAACTGAATGGAAATCTGTTTGAAATCTGTTTTTCCGTTAATGAGCTGTCGCCCCCATACGAACGAACAACTCTCAGAAGTTGAGAAACTTGTGCGAGCTAAGGACTAACGAGGTCTTACCTTTCAACGTGTGATTCCTAACACGGTTGCAGAATCATTTCAGCTTCAACCAGATAAATTCTCTCGAGAAAAATATCTGCTCGAGGCGGGAATCGAACCCACGGTCTTCCGATCGTGAGTCGGGCGCACTACCACTACGGCCAATTCCAATGCTCATATAGAACAATTAAAACATAAACTGTCGAGCATATTATTTATCCTGCGACAGCTTAGGCATATTTCAAACTACGAAACTCTGGGAACAGTTTATTTCTCACTGTTTCAGTCTCATTTGGGATACGCCATTTCACTGTGAGGAAAATCCTTGGCTGCTAATGTTATTTTCATTCAACAAAAAAAAGCAAGAATATTAGGCAATCTAGGGAATAGAAATACGTGTAGACCTTTATTCATCAAACTCAGAATCATGACTCTTTCTTCCCTATACATTTACAATTCACTCCTTGAAATACACAAAACATCGTCCAACATCGTGACTGTCAGCATGTGTAGTGAATACATGCTGACAGTCACCATCATAACATTAGAAACTCTGACAATATCAGACTTCCTAGATATAAGCTTTCTATTTCACAAAAAAATTCTTTAGATTTTAGTCAATGCACTGCCTCATCAAATCAAAACGATGAGTGTGACTAAGTTTAAACGAACCATCAAATCGTATTTGCTAAAAAACAGTTTTTACTCAACCAATGAGTACTTGGAATATATTCAAGGTGTGACCTTTAGCCTCTGAGAACATACTCACCGTTTATGTACTGTTTGTTTAACTGTTTCTTATATTTCTCTTATATTTTTGTATGTTTATATGCTGTGATATTTTGTAATTACTTTTGAAAGTGCATTAGTGTATTACTAAATAGTTTACTCGATATCTTTTGAAACCAAATGACTTGCTATGAATATGCATATGTATATGATATACTCAAATAAACTGTCTATCTATCTATAATTCAAATGTCTACTCGCATAGTACATTCCAGTTCTCGATGTACATATGGTTTTTGACCAGTTATTTCTCCAAGCATGTTTTTTGGATGACTGTTCATCATTCTCACTCAGGGATTTGAGACTAATGAAGTTATAGTGGTGTTTATTTTGATAGCTTGTGATTTTGTTTTCCTTACATACTCCGAAAGTTGTATTTTGTCCAATCCTCTGTAGTTTTGTTGCTTTCCAGTTCAAATTGTTCCGTTGCTGTGTCGTTCATTTTACAGTTTCGAAGGTGGTAGATTGAAAGTATCCTTGGTGCTGCTGTTGGGTTGTTCGTTTCTGCTATTTTTAAGTAAGCATGTCTATACTCTGCGTATTTTGTTAATAACGGTTGCCTGTTTCGTCAAACCGAAGATGTATATATTATCGTGGATTCAATCATCAGTATCTATCATTTATGGTTTCAGTCACTAATGTTACTGATTTTTTCTTTCGTCGGAATTGATATGCACTGAACGAGTAGAAATTTGCACTTCAGCTTTCCACTTAGTCAATATACTCGTACACACATCTGCCAGCCTACAAAGCACAAAAAACAATCATTTCTGTCCTCAACAAATCTTGTGGGTCAGAGACTCAAGCTGTACTGAACATCGAACCTGGTCTATTAACATCCGTACATCGACGAGACCTGACAAAAACATCACCGCCATCTGTGGGAGTACAGGAGAATCCGAAGCAGTTAATTTCGCGTTGCATTCCGCAGATCACAATTTGGAGAATTTTGCGACGTGACTTAGGCCTGCACCCGTACAAAACTCAGCTGACCCAGGAACTAAAGGTAAACGACCATGTTCGGTGAATGGGCTCTGGAGTATTTAGCAACAGATCGTAATTTCCATAAATAATCTTCAGCGATGAGGTCCATTGATTTATCCTTTCGCAATCGATTTTTCCATTATCAAATAAAACTGAACCAACTTAACCTAATATTTTGATCTTTAAATCAATATAACCTATTTGAAATGAAAATGCCTTTGATAGTAGGTTCAATCATGAAAGATTTCCTAGAATTTCGTCAGTTAAATCTAAGAAAAAAACTTATTTTCGAATAAGTTCATTAAATGATTCATTTGACCAAATCAATGTATTGATATTGTTAATTCTTACAAAGGTTGTAGGGAGACAGTAAGTGGACCAACGATATCTGAGATGAATCATTTCATCATATTTGCGTATGGTGTCTCACCTATTAAAATTCTGAAACTTTTATAAATGAATATATAATGCATATCATCAGTTGTTGTTTTAAACGGTCATATTTCCCAGACCTGTACAGTTTCTGACACTGTTACACAAAATATTCCTGAGGGACTTGGTGACGTAAGTACCCTAGTTAATAATGAATGGATTTATATGAAACTCAAATACTTTGAATTGGAAGTGGGTATATTTTTAAAAGAAATCAATTTTTGAGGAAGAATGAATTTGGCTTTATATTTCCCCATCTTTAAAAAAAGTGTGGAAATCTTTCGAAGAGAGAAAGAAAGCAATCTATTTCAAAATAAGCTCTTCACAAAGATGTGAAGATCATGCAAAGAAGTACCTTTCAGACACAAACTATAAGAAAAACTAAATATCACTTCCCACCTACAAAACTCAACAATATTTTGTATGAGCTAATGAAGAGATTCAATATTGGAAAATTGATAAACTTTTTATGGAAGGGTGAACCGCTTCGTTACCTAATGGTTGTTACAGCGTCATTCTGATTGAATTTCCTTTCTCTCACGCTTACGTCAGCGGAAGGCTCGTCGAACAGACGCTCAGTGTTCAGTGTGCGATAGTGTAATATTCTTTTATGACGTAATATTCTTTCATTAAATGAAACTTGACTTACGNTTGAGTTATCTGGGAGAATTACGTCTTTAATATTATCCACTAATTGATAAGAATTATTCATACTAAATTTAGGCTTGAAATTGGTATAGGTTTGAATCAATTTAATCAGGATTTCTGAAATTTCAACGGTAGGTGCCGTTACGAACGAAACGTGACTTAAAAATGATGATACTAATTTTGTGTGTGTACATTATTAGTATCTTTATTCAATCCTACAAAAGTAACAATTAGCTAATGGTAGCTACGATAGTTATACATACACAAAATTTCAGCCATTTTCATTTGTTTTTTCCCTCTCAATGTGAGCATTTGTTTATGGAGTGGTGCTTGTTGATTAAGTTTGAGTAGATCGCAGATAGACTTCGCTAATGAGTACCAAAAACTCCTTTATGAAATCTATACACTATTATTATTTTTGAGTATCAATGACATCGACTAATCAGGTCATTAGCCTCGTGTTCTGACTAGGCAATGATAATAATTTCCCGTTTTAAAGGAAATCATGGCTATTGGCAGTACGTAAATGATATTATTATTCTCAATGAGAACTAAATAAAGAGAGACTGAAATTCCGATGTCACAAAATTTGCTAGTACGCTTTGGTTCTCTCGATCGTGAGAGAAGAAACAAATTGATTTTGAGCTTTCCCTATCCCAATAAACTCCCTGGCGTTTTCTGCATCGGCCGAGCTGAGATTGGAAAAATTTAATTACCATTGCGGGTCTTGTCAGGAAATGCGACAGAATGTAGCTTTTCGCAGAGTTGTTCTTTCTGAAAATGAGCTACAAAGTGACAAACAAATTGTGAATTGTCATCGAACTAATATATTTCATCTACATAGTTCATAACTCATTTCAGGTTTCCAATTGATATTCACACTAAAATAGTAAATATAGAAAAAATTATTAACATATTTTTTTAAACGCTCTGATTCGCTTATGATTGTTTCGAAGTGAAGAGATTATAATAGTTCAACAGACCTCTATTGAACCGGCATGTGTTCAACAAAAGCTTTTTTTCAAGTGTATTAATGATTAAACTATTTCAAAAAAATTAAAGACCCATGTTTTTGTACTGAAATAACTCTCATACCAGCTGTAACTTTACTGATCTAACCTATTTGGAATTTCCGGGTGCATTCAGTTTTTGATTCTTGATAAATATTGAAAGTTATGGAGCTCATTAAATGCGTGTAATGGAATACATTTCGAAACAAAAATTGACGGATTCCTCATTTTTTAGGTAGCCGAAAATGCTGGTTTCGTTTTCAGTGCTGCACTATTTATATGGTATAGTTTGAATAGGAATGGGTATATCATATTTATACTTCTCAATCACCAATTGTAACAATCCACTAAACTCGCAAGAGTCACAGTGCTATCACTGTGATGAAAAAAATAATGAAGGCCAGTAACTGTAAACAGTTAATAATGCAAATCAGGTCTACTTTCGAAAGATTATTTTCCATATTCTTTCATGAAAATTTTTTTTCAAGAATATCTCCTGAAAAATAAAATTTTGTTCAATTTCAAAACCCTAGTAGTGAGATGAACTCTCATGTATCTGATCATTATTGGTTTTTGAAGTGGTATGGTTTACAATTATATCTTCCACTCCGTCACAGTACTACTTTTCTATTTCACTCAACTTATTCAGTTAACTGCTTTCAGTCAAATGAATCAAAAAGATAAATAATGATGAACGTACTTGAATTTCCCGTTGTTGTTGACGCATGTTGACGTGTCGTTTATTCTGAGTGAGTTTTTCAAAGTTTCGTCGACACCGGTGGTAAACACTATCAGGGGTATATGTCTAATCAGAACGGGTGACAAACCTAGAAAATGACAAATATTGAGTATATTTCGGATTATTTCGAATGTATTTTCGAAATTTCATCTGGGTCAGTGAACTATGAACACACGTAATGAATGAATAAATAATTTTAATAATCTAGCTAATATTAACAAAAAAATGTTTGGAAAAAAAATCCTAACTGAAATAGTACAAAAACTAATCATATAATACATCACTAGTGGATATAAAATAAATACTATGGTCTTCATAACAAAACACCTTCTACGCAAGGATTCATCTAAAGCTACCTTAAATAAAGTTGATGAATATATCATTTGTGATAAGATGACTGCCAGCAATATCTCGAATGTTTTTTAATGAAATTGAAACGTACAAACAAAGTATATATGATGTTTTTAGGTATTAAATGCTACATTTATCCTAAGCCATAGACTAAGACTATGAGTAATAATACCATTTCAGTTTTGAAAATTTCATATTCTTTCAATTTCATATGAAAATGTAAAACACACTTATATTTGAAATAATCTGAAGTTACAATGGTATTCAAGAAAACTTGCTCATATTGACCTCTTTATTAATAATAGACATCGAAGGCAGTAGTTTACTGTTCTGATCTGAAGGTAAGTGAACTGAGGATACAAATAGCAACTTCAGTTACCATAAATATCAAAGCACCTTTCGCGAAACTTCCCGTTACAATTTTCATCTCTCACAGGATCCATTTCTTTCGAAAAACACACGTGTACTCTGTGTTATGTGGAAGTCATGGAAAAAGTGAATTATCGAATGAAGCTGTCTAGGAATTCAACATTCTTACATCACGCATGCTTTAATATTCATCTCAGTTGTAATAATTCAAAGCTGTAGCGATGGCAGCTTTAGCGAAATCACTTTCACAAGGACTTCTATCCCAGAACGGACCAGGACATCCTCTCTGTTCAAAACAATAGTCAGGCACTGTATTCGAGGCAGTAGAACAACAAGCAACTACAGCCCAAACGCAATTACTGGGTCCAGGAACCAGCGCAGCTGGAGGACGTGTGGTTGTGGTTGGCACCCTTCTTGTAGTTGGCACCCTTCTTGTGGTTGGGGAAGGATTGAAAGGAACATCTTTTTCGTCGTCATCAGCTGCCAGCTTATTGACCTCATTATCGCTTATAGAGTGGATTAGAGGAGGAAATTCGGGTAGACCTGGCGGTCTAGGTGGTCTCGTTGGCACTACTTCTGCAGAATTTTTTGTATCGTCACCTCCCCAAACAGGCCTTTCATCATCATCATCGTCATATTGGTTTCTATTGAATACTTTCATTGTGGTATTCTTTGGTTTTTCTGTCGTTGGTGTCGATGGTTTTGGAGGCAGGTAAGGAGGGCCCCGGAATGGGGGTTTCATTGGGTTGTCTGGAGGAAATCCAGGATTGATATTTAGTGGTTGTGGGGGAAAGTATACAGGAGTCTTTCCTGGAGCGCCGTAAAGGGGGATATAGTAGGGCCTACTCAGCTGGTACACTGGAGGTTTCCATATTGATGTGTCGAATCTGTAAAGGAGAAGAAATATTTTTATTAGTTTTGGGAATAATTCATAAATGAACATAATGTGTTGAACTTTATTGAAGTTATTGATTTCATCAGTGACCCTACTGATAAAATATTTGAAAATCCGTAGGAATGATCACTGTATGTTGAATAATTCGTATAATGATTTGAGGTTTACAGATAAGCTAATATCTGGTCACATCTGAAATGTTGACAATAACGTCGAAACCAATGACTGCACCTTACATTCCGAAGAATTGATCACATCGATCTTCCCTGGCTAACTCTCTTTAGATTTCGTTTCATTTATTGTTTTCTATATAGCATCCACTCTACATGACAGGTGCAGTCATTGACTTCAAAGGTAGCATTAACGCTTCAGATTTGACCAGATAATAGCTTATTTGCAAACCTCGAATCATTATATCACACAGTGAATATCTTTTCATCAGACTTTCACATATTTCATCAGTAGAGTCACGAATGACGATGTTATCAAGATACGGATAATTGTTTACTTATGGTAGCGAAGTTATGGGAAAGTGATATTTGACTATTTCACTAAATGAAAGTCACTATACTGTATTCTATCTCCGAATCGTGAATGACTGCAAAAAGACGAATTCTTCTTCCAAAATTAGTTTGGTTCATATTCGAAGTTCAAAGTTCATATATTTCAAGAGAGTATCGAATGAAAATCAAATTTCTTGCTCATTTTGAAAAAAAGTGAAATAAAACCTGTGGCATATAAATATAGTTTGAAAGTAATTTGAAAGAATAGGTAAAACAACTTTCAAAACTTTTATGAATTTCCAGTCTAATAAAGTTGAATAACTGATGAAATGCAAACTTAGGGTGATGTCAGCAGCCAGGATTCTATACAGGGTGTATTTTTTCATTGGCTTTTCAAACGAACCAAACTCGGTGAGATTTTGATCCAATAACTTAAACATAGTTCGATGTGGTTGTTGTCTTTCGGAATACTAGTTTGAATACATTTCCGATGTCGTAACACTGTTTCTATCGTAATAAATTTGTATCATATTTCTTTTTTCTTCATTCGTGAAAGCTATTTTATGCCAAAAATTCAATGACTTGTACAATAACAAAATGTCATTGAGAGTAACAAATTGTAAGTCAAATTTAGAAACATTAAAGTGAAAGCCTATTATGATACGAATTAATTTTTTTCAATATCTTCGAAAAACAGTGATAGCTTGTGATACATCATGGAGAAGGTGAAATTGGTTCTACTCAAAACAAAAAGAATCCAATGCAGCGCCCATGAGAAAAAATTAAGTTGATGATACATACAGGGTGTTTCAAATTCGATTTTCACCATTGGAATCTCGGAAACTATGACAGCTACAAAGGTGGTTAAATTGGAGCTAAGTTGCGCATTCACCTGACTAACAATGTGCCGTTGAGAATGTTCTGAAATTCCGAGTATATCCGGAGATATCCGAAAAAAACAGAAATTTTGGAAAATGGTTTTTATTTTTTCTGGCTTTATTTTTCGAAGGATTTGAAAATGAATTGCACTTCCACATTGCCCTGTTACATAATGGTGTTTTCAGATTTGCTATCCGACGTTTCGTCTTCCGGCCAATGATTTTCAATTTCACTCAGTTATTCAGTAGTGACACATACAATTCAATGAAAAACATGATATCGAAAAACACCTGACTCCGCGGAGTTGCCGGTGTTGCCAATAAACATATTAAAATATTCCATAGATTGGAATAATACAATACAATATACATCTCTCTCAAACTAATAAGACTTCTCCAACTCCAACTGGTTAATTTCTCAGAGGGCTTAACTATTCTACGAATTGTTTTAGTCACGTCAGGCTCACAGACTATATCCCCTTGATGGCTTGATGACTTCAGGCAGAGCCTGGTCGGAAGTAGCTCCATGGCCCTGTGGTGAGGTCTTCCTCAAAGTTTTCAAGCTATATATGTTCCTCCTGTACTCAATGTACTTTGATTCCACAATATAGCTGTTAGGAACTGCATTTCTAACAATCACTCCCGGCTGCCGCTCACGAATTTTCTTTTGGAGCAGGGTTGGTTGGCATACATTGAGGAGAGGTATCATAACGGTATCATAGTGGTATTTCTGTTTGATCTGATTTTCTGCAAGTTTTTTTCTGAATCCCTTCTAGAGGATAGTCATACTTCAAAATTTCAAAGCTCACTGTTCTCTTTGGGAGTTATATTGTAGTTCAGAATAGCTAAGAATAAAAATTGTTTATCTTTGTATACCTTTGAGAGGAGAGCCTTTACTGTTTGAATTTGCCTTTCAATAAATCCATTCGAACGGGTATAATGAGGAATAGATGTGGTTTTTATGTCATAACGTTTAGCAAACTCGCGAAAATTGTAAAATGTCTGGAAAATTTTCCATTGGAAGCCCGTTTATAGCCGAAACATTCCTTAGTGCAACTAGAACGGTTCCTACTGTCTTGGTTTTCATTTTCTTGACAATGATATATTTGCTAAAGTAATCAACAAAAACAGAGTTCAAAGTTTCCAAAGTTCTGAAATCCATTCCGATTTCATGCCATAGCACTACTGGTATATCATGTGGTGTCGATGGTTCACGTTGATTTGCTATTGAATAAATCTGGCAAATGGCGCAACTCAAAATCATATTTTCATGGTCGGTCGGTAGCCGGTCGCTTCGACGTGGGTGCTTTGTTCACTCACTCAAATCGACCGCCGTGTTGGTTGGTGATTCAAGACTCAGGCTATCGTCCAACCAGTGTTAAGAAACAAACGTTAAAAGGTAAGACCTCGTTAGTCCTTAGCTCGCACAAGTTTCGACTTCTGAGGGATGTCGGTCGCAGGGGTGCGACAGCTGTTTGACAGAAAAACATATTTCAAACTCAATATAATTGAAGGTATTGCCCTTGAAACGGATTGATGCAAGACATTATAACAACATTTAACTTTTTTTATAGATATCAACTGTAATGCCAAAATATCAATCTAATTGCAAGTATTACCCTTAAAACAGATCGATGCAAGACATATAACAACGTTGAACTTTTTTATAGATATCAACTGCGATGCCAAACAATCATTCTAATTGTAGGTATTACCTTTGAAACGGATCCATACAAGACATTATAACAAAGTTGAACTTTTTTTATATATATCAACTGTGATGTCAAACAATCAATCTAATTGGAAGTATTCCCCTTGAAACGAATCGATGCATGACATTATAACAACGTTGAAATTGTTATTATAGATAATCAACAGTGATGCTGAAAATCAATCCAATCAAAAGTAGCCTACGAACGACAGTACAACATCATTTGAATTATTATTATAGATATTTAACCGTGATTTCAAAGAGTCAACCTAATTGAAAGTATTACCCCTGAAACGGATCGTCCAAACCGGTCCTTGGGGAGAATCCTCTTTTCCTCCTTTCCGCGTCGCCTGGCACGTACCGGCGAGTAGCAGGAGCGGCCTCGACTTGCGAATCTGTTGCACGCTTTCTGTTGGCTCTGTATCGATCCTCCGCCAATCCGTCAGTGCGAGAGCACACTGAAACGAGCGCCAGCGCTGCCGTTACGAACTGTTCGAACTTCATCCTGAAACAAATGAAATCCTTCTGTAAATATCGCTCACGGCGACTAATTGATTTGTGGGGATTGAAAATTACGAAAAACAAAGTTGTTCAAGAACACTTTGTGGATATGTATAATCACTTTATTTGTTCACTCATTTGTATTAACAGACTTTTGGTGAGTATCTTTTTGGTGAGAAATACAATGATATAACAGTAACTATCTCGAAGAGGGCCCTAATAACTTCTTTCAAATAGACAAGGGGGTCTTGAGGAACATCATATGATAGGTTTTTTTATTCTCTATTCAAAACTGGTTTAGTTTTGTAATTCAAAACCACTAAACTATATTGGAAGACACTATAAAAGGGTTTTACAAAAACCGCGACACGTGTTTCGTATACAATAGCTTCCTAAAGCATAAGAAAAATATGGATTTTCATCAAGTATCGGTCAGTTCTATTCAATTATACTGAAAGAAACAAGCCCAAAATTGAAGATAATGGCATCTCCCCCTACGAAAACATCATCTATGGGATCGATGGAAGACTCAATTCCTGAATGCAAGGCAGGTTGCCTTGCAGTGAAAGACAGAGGAAAAATCTCTTTCGACTTGGATTTGCAAAGGACCGTCTTAGAGAGTCTCGTTTATCCTTCATATTCGAGGATTGAGTCTTCTGTAGATTCAATAGATGACGTCTTCGTAGAAAGACATGCCATCACCTACATTATGCTCATTCATGAAATAAATAGGAAAGTAGGTACCTGAGAATAATCTCAAGTGGTCATTTATAAAATTAATCTGGTAGTACTTCAGAAATAGTTTCAATCCAAATGAGTTTACAACTGATTCGATTCAGACTTCATTGTAAAATTTTCATTGAATAGTTTAGGTATAAATTGATTGAAAATTCTTAAAAGTAATAAAAAAACTTCACAAACTCATTCAATGGCATGTGATAAACTAATTAACAATCAGAAAACATGTTTAGTAGGGGAGAAAGATTCAATTATTTTGGTCGTTTGGTGAATTTTCAGAATTCTCAAATCTATCAATTTCCTTCCAACCAACAAAATTGTTTTATAATTTGATAGTGCTGCAACAGTTTTATTCTGTTGGTATTTTATAATTACTTCCAAAATGCCAATTGATTACATTAGACAAGCCGTGAACACAATACAATTGTAGGCAATAAAAGTGTTCTATACAAATTTGTCATAGAAACGTTTATAAAACGAAATTAAAAACCCATTATGAAATAGTCACGAAATCATCACAGAAACATTTTCACAAGTAATTTATAAAACATATTTTCCTATAAAAGTAAGAAAAGCAGTTATTGCTCGAAATTTCGAAAATCGGTAAAGAGAAAAGATGATTGTTTTTTCATTTTTCGCCCATATACCAATTTTTAGCTCTCTAGTACAAATTTAGTTTTTTTACAGTTTTTCGAAAATTTGACATTTGCCGATTCTCAAATTTAGCCAAACCTCAACAAGGTTAGTGCTTTATGCCTAACTTATCTTTCCAACGCATTTTTATTACCAATTGCAATTCTTAACACAACTTATTTCGCAAAAATTTAAAACACCAGAAAAAATTAACTGATAACTTTCAGCAATCAAGCTAATAATGTGGCTAAAGTCAGTTTTGTTATTGCCAGGAATATTGCTTGTACAAAACGCCCGTACAAAAAAAAATGGAAGAAGTACTTAAAGTTTCAGGTCCAAGTAATGCAGCATTGCACAAAGTTTTCCCGCAAATTTCCATCTAGAGACAGACAACCGAACGACGCATAATTGCAATTAATACATCTCTTGAATATAATTGAAAAAATAATTTGAAGAACTGTATTGAATTCACCTTAACCCTTGACGAATCGAGAGATATCACATATCTTCGGCAATTGGCAGTTTTCATACGTTTTGTATGAAAACTGCCATAATGAAAACTTTGGATGTGCCTCTTAATAAACTTGTAAGCATTGCAATACTAGGTGAAAAAATTGATCTTATTGGGCTTTTAAGAGATGATTCTCAAATTCCACAGTTTATGTCGATTCACTGCATGATTGAACGAGAACATCTCGTTAGCAAATATTTAAAATGTCCTGATATTATGAAAACAGTGATACACATTGTGAATTACGTTCCAACCAATGCAAAAAATCATCAACTCAAATATTCTTGAAGAATTGAAGGACGAAGAATTTCGAGATGATATTAATTTCTTGTACGTTGTTAGGTGGTTATCTAGATACAACGTAATGAAAGGTTTCGTAGAATTGTTTGATCTGATAACTGTATTTCTGAAAGAAAAAAATAATATACTCAGCATAAGACGATGACATAATGTTTTTGACTGATATCATGGAACATTTGCAAACACTGACTTCACAACTGCAGGGGAGAGATGAAAAAATATATGATCTCTCACACTGTATATTCAGTTCGAAAACTAAATAACAACTTTCTCAAAAGGAATTCAATGAATATATTTTCTGGGAAAAAATGTTTGTACCTTTCTTGCATACATATTCAATTTAGTCATTTATTTTGAAAGTTAATAAGTCATAAATACATCATTACCGATATATTCACAGTCAGCAATGATGGTTTTTTTTGGGAAGATTTGAGTGGAGAGAGGAACATAGTTTTTTAGTGGGGGTGTGGTGAAAACATCTCGCCGAGTCAAGATTGTCTTCTCAATGAAATTCTTTCTAATTATTGTATTCTTGTTCGATCTAATCATTATTTCGTCCCAATGTTTCATTATATTTAAGGCAAATCACTGAAACTCGCGTAAGCCGAAAACAATAATGCAAACGAATGAGTCGAGAAGCCTTTGGAGTCGCGATAATATTCATCACTCGTTTGCAGAATCTTAAAACGAATATAAAACTGCTAATTACTCTGGAACGGCTGGCCCAATTTCCAAAAATAAACCCGTGTTAGATAGAGAACTGACAGAGATATCTAACGAGGTATTACAAGACCCCCCCATTTCTTTAAAAACGTT